AGATGTCCAGTTGCCTACTGGATGGGGTTTGGGTCCCCACTCCACATTCCCTCTCATTCACAATGATATGATTTTTTGTTCTTTGATGCCTGATCGACACCTTGCAATCACACAGGCTGGTGTGCTTCTTCCATGTGGGCTTTGTTGCTTCTCAGCTAGATGGCTGCTTGTTTATCAAGGTAATTTATCAGATAGTATGGCAGGGGCTGAACCAAACTCATTCTATGAAGTTTGTATAACCCTAATACCAAAAACTGACAAAGACAACATTAAGTAATAAAATTATAGACAACTATCCCTCATGAAAATTGACACAAAATAATCTCAACAATATCCTAGACAATAGAATTCATCATCATCATCATTTTACACCATGCAAAAATGGGAATCGTACCAACTACTAAAATATGTCAAGGAGCCATGTAAGGAGGGCCGTGTCTAATGTCATGTATCTGTCTAGAACAGTGTGCAAACGTTTGTCCTAGCTGGTTCTCATAAACTGCTTCCCTACTGCAAACAGTAAGGAATTTGGGGAACAGCTGCATATAGTGTTCCCTGGGAGCAGTAAACAGGAGCAGTATGGGTTTAGACACAGAACTCTGTCAAGGCTATTAGAGATTCAAGCGTGGGAATAGCGAACTTATCTGGGAACACTGCCAGTATTTAGTAGATAAAAATAAAGCACTGTGGTCCATCAGGGCTGCAGTTTGTACCATCTCTGTCTATGTCTATTTTGTGCTGCAGTCCTGTATTGTCTGTGTGTGTGTGTGTGTGTGTGTGTGTGTGTGTGTGTCTGTTTGGTTCCATGTCCATTCTCCCTGCTCAAGATTCCGGAGCCATCCAGTGAAGCAATGAGTAGTCCACCTTGGGGACTTTCTTTGTTATTGTTTTTAAAAATTGCAAGTCCTTCTAAAATGAATTAATTATGATCCCATGAATCCTGAATTTAAAAGCTCATTTTCATTATTTTTACCAGGACTAGATGGAAAATATGACTCGAAGGATGAGAAATCTTTATTTTAGATAATTATATTACTAAAATTGCATTAGCAAATTCATTTTTAAGTCTCTCATAATATATCGTTCTACCTCGAGGCAGATTCTGACTTTTCCCATTTGAGAGTGACTTACTT